GAATTTTTCTTCGAAGATTAACACACGTTTCGAGTACCTAGAAATACTCTAAAAAACCCAAAATTAGTGTTAAAACCCTTTTTGGCCAATTCTAAAATTTTGGCTCGGCGGCTTCACTGTGCTCCGGCGACGACACCGCCACCCGTGGCGGCTGTTTGCCTCGGGTTGGTAGTTTTCAGCCGGTTTTATACATATCTCTGTAAGAAAATATGTTAAGGAGTCTTGGTTGGTCCAAAAAATTGAAAAATCGAAGTTTACCAGCAGTGGGGTTCTCCGGTGCGGCGGCTCCACCAGCTCACCTTCACGGTTAAGTGTTTTGCTTCGGTCAACCTGTAGAGAAAGTAATGGTGATTACAATGGTGGAAAAATTACACGAAACAGGAATCAAGAAGGGCCTTATCGGATGCGATTTTTTTTTTTGGCGATGGCAGCGCTGGATTTTACCCGCAGTTTTTGATCAATCTGCTTGTCATTTTGCTCGGATTTGGCCATTGAGGTGTTTAAAATAGAATTTCGAGTAAAGAAATTTTTTTACCTCTTTTGGCAATCGGAAGTGGCTCCGACGCGGCAGCGGGCGACAGTCGGCTCCCTTCTTGGCGACTAGATCTTCTTCTCCGATGAGGGGGTCTGGCGGCTAGGGTTAGGGTTTGGTGTGAAGAAGATTATTTATATCCGTCGTGATTTGATCTGAGTCGTTAATCGCGTTTGATCTGCACCGTTCGATCGCGTTTAAATAGGAAGTAAATCTGGACCGTTCATCGTGTTTAATCGTGATTGTCCGATCGTATCTGAGGAGGGAATAGATTCGGACCGTCCGTGCGGAAAATGGATCCGGACTGTCCAATCGCAGGCACGTGGATCGCCAGTGTGGCCTCCTGCGTGGCACTGCGTCAGCGTCCCTTGCCACGCGACGTGCTCCGGTTCGTCGGGACTGTTGACTGAGCGTACTACATAATATAATTTTTTAAAATTACGTTTTGACCTCAATTTCTGATTTTTTTTTTTCAAAAATATTATCATAATCTAATTTTTTACTCCATTTTTTCCAAAAATTGTTTTCAATTTCATCATCTCTTTAATTTTTTTTTATTTTTATATTAAATAAAAATTGAGAAATAAATAAAAAAATTTATATTTATATATAATTTTAGTTACATTAAAATTAAATAAATTTAGGATATTACATTATATATATATATATATATACTTTGTCCTACTTTTTGTTAATGATAAGAAAATAAAATTTATTAAATTTTTTTAAAAAATATCTATTTATATAAATATAAGATTATTGGATAATAAAGAAGAAATTAATTAATTAATCATACTTAAAAAATTTATAATATAATTTAAATCAGATTATACAAATTGAGGACCCGTACCACCTTCACAAACACGACTTAATCACTACAATTCGGGATCACATGGTATTAAAAAAACTAAATAATCACGTCTTGCACAAATTTTTATAGAAATATCATTAATGATTTAAAATTATATTAAGTGTTTAGTGTTATTATTATATGCACACACCGCATATAACTGGAGCTAAATTACAAAATTATGCTGATTAATCAACCTAATTAATATTTTATTAAGTTCGATTATACTAATTGGAAAGAAGCTTTAACAGAGGCCCCTCTAAATTCTCTTCAATAGAAGAAAAAACAGATGATAAATTTTATCCTGAATAAAAATAAAAATTTAATATTTTAAATATTTTATTAAATATAAATTATAAATTTAATCAAAGTTTAGTTTAGTTTTTTTTTTATAAAAAAATTATTCGTTAAGCAGCATGATTAATGTTTTCATAATCTATGGGAATGGAAAAGCACGAGTTCTCATGGGGTTGCGTGTAAATTAGGAAGAAAAATAAGCTGATAAGTGCTTTTATTATTATTATGCAAAAGCTGATAAACCACTTTTGTTGACTTCTCTTTTGCTTTGCTTCTACTCATCATCATCCATTCCCTTTCTTTCAATTTCCCATTTTCTTTCAAAAGCACTTATCACGAGGCTTCTGTCTCAACTTAAATTATTGTTATTATTAATTACTCATTATAACATTTACGTTAATTCCAATTTAATCCTTTTAACGTCAAATAAAAAGAAATTTCAATCTATACGACGTCGCTTTCTATTTTAAGGGCGAGAACAAGTAAAATTATTTTATTTATATTATTATTTTATTATAATGTCGAATGTACATTATCCATTACAATTACAAACTCAGATACAGTCAGATTACATCGGCATTTTATCAAATAGTTCACATACTATAACACAACGCCAAGGATTTCTGACAGCCATGGCTTCCAAGCTCTCAACCAGAGATTTCAATGGCCTTAACATCAGGTTTCTTCACCTCCGCTTTCGGCACAGTCACGGTCAGCACCCCATTCTCCATCGACGCCATCACTTGGTCCATCTTCACGTTCTCTGGCAGCCTGAACCTCCTCGAAAACTTCCCGCTGCTGCGCTCCACGCGGTGCCAAGTATCATTCTTGTCCTCCTTCTCCACGTGCCTCTCGCCGCTGATCTGCAAAACCCTGTCGTCCTCTATCTCCACTTTCACCTCCTCTTTCTTCATCCCAGGGAGATCCGCCTTGAAGACGTGCGCCTCTGGGGTCTCCTTCCAGTCCACCCGTGTGTTAACGAATGCAGAATTATCCCGCGACATTGACGAGGAAGAGAAGGGGAAATCCTTGAATGGATCCCAAACGTCGAGCGAGAAGGGGTCGAAGACGTTGCTTCGTCGGCTGCCAAAGATGCTTGGAATGATCGACATGGTTAAGAAATCTCTGCTTTTTGTTTGTTTTGCTGCTAATTTTTTCTCGAGTAAATTATTCGATGGTGACAAAGAGGGTGGGTTCGTGAATTTATAGGACGGAGATGAGAATTCTAGAGAGAGAAATTCCAATTCCAGATGCTTCTTCAACCGTATCCATGGCGCCAAGTTAACGATTAACCCAATTAGAAGGATGAAGAACGTTCCAGGTAACTCAAGGCGGTTCCCTTGTATGGGCTTCCTGGCCCATTAATGTACGAGTTTGTAAATGGGCCTTCTGACCCAATAGATTAATTTCGATAAAATAGTTTTTTTTTTTTTAATTAGAAAATCAATCCGTTAAAACCCCAAAGATCATTTTATGTAAAACCCTAAAAATTACAATGAGGCGAACTTTCAATTTCCTATTCTCTCCTCCCGCTCTCAAATCAAGCCCTTCTCCTTCCCTAGTACCACCGTTCGTAGCATCGTCTCAATCCAAACTCATATTCTTCCCCTCTGTGTCTGATCGGTTCAGCAGATCTAAGTTCACGCAAACCTCGAACACGACTAGCCCCGTTGAAGTTGACGACACCAGTAAAGTAGGTAAACAAATATTGTTCCTTACTCCTCGAATTATTTGCTCCTTGATTTGCAGCTTGTTTGAAAAACTGAAATTAAGGATTGTCTAATACATGAATTTGTTTGGTTTCAGAGCTGAAAGAGCAAATCGAGAACTTTTTGCAGTCAGAGGAGGGAAATGAGGAGGCGATCTCATCCATTTTTGAGACAATCTTGAAGAGGAAGCTATCAGGAAAGCACGAGGAGAGCGACAACGAGCTGATGGACGAGCTTCGGGAGAAACCTGTTACTGATTTCATGGAGGATCCGCGTGAGTTCGGGGATCAGAGCGATGAAGATGTTGATAGTTTCAGTGACGAAGAAGAGGACAATTAATTTAGATCTCAGGCTAAAAGCTTATTTTGTTCGTATGGTTTTTGTTTATTTATTGGAAAGAAGAAAATGTGTAATTATTTTCTTATGAAGAAAATGTTATAGTGCGATAATATTAACTCCGTTAGTATTTAAAAAACGGAGTGAAATTATGTTTTGGTTTTACTTTCCTTAAGTCGCGTTAAAGAAAATTAATTTAAATAATTTACGTTAACAGTGTCAAATATCAAATCATGTTATCGATAATATTTTGGAATTCTTTTAAAAATATTATTATTTTTTTTTAAAGAAAAACTGTTATCGAGAATATTATTACCTAAATTAAGAAAAAACGTTTCTCAAAGGGGACACAAAAAAAGGAAAAAAAAAAAAAAAAAAAAAAAAAAAGGGGTTAATCCAGGTGGCATTTTATATACAGGCTGTTTGATCGTTTTTAGGTGCCTAAAAGATAAGCATCAAGTTTCGAGTAGACGACGTGGAAAAATCAAGTAAGAAACGACGACGTATCTAGTAACATTTGGGAAAGTAGGCCAAGTTGATGAGAATCTGAGACTGACATGGAAAAGCACTCGACCCATGAGTACCCCAAGTGATAAAAAGTGGAAAAAAGAACAAGGGTACAAAAAGAAGCCGAAAGAATTGAATTGAATTGAATTGCAGAGAAAGTTCTTTCTTCAGGGTATCACCCGACCCGATGGCTGACATCACTTCATTTTCTTGTTCATCTTCAAAGGTAAAAGATTCAAAATGCTACAACACCGCTACAGAATTTGCTTGTAGTGCTTGTTTGTTGTGCCTTTCTTGCCCGCTCTCCGTAGCCTGGTGCTGCATCAAGATGCCTTGCAAGATCGCGTGGAGGGCTACGATTCGTGCCAAGAAGAATTGGGATTGTTGTTGTGGATCAGAGAAAAGAATTTTTGCTGCTGATTATTCTTCCTTTTCTGATATTGAACCAGATAGTCTGCCATCTAAGCGGCGTACATTCTATACAAATTCCGGCGTTTCGAGTAGTATTGGAGTTTGAATTTCAGCCCTGATTATTCATCTCCAGTTTCTCAAATGGGTTTTGAATTTTTGTCCATGTTATGGTAGAGGTTTATTCGTCTGTAAAAAGTATTTTTCTGGGTCAGAAATTAAGAGAGTATTTCTGATAATTTGCTGAGAGGGTTTGATTTTGTTTGGATTGAACGGTGAGAAATATGTGATCGAAGTTCTTCTACTGTATATTTAATTTAAAACAGGGATTTGTTGTTGATTGAAAGCTCTTCCTTCTCTCTTATATTTAATTTAGAGTTGAAAAATATAGAGTAAATTAATATACATGTTATATACTATTTTATTCAGTTTCTTTTTCTTGTTTGTTTGTTTATACTAAATTGTATTTTTAGACAGGTGGAGGGTATGACGATCCAATCTCTATCTTTTAAACGATTTTGGTTTAATTCCTACTTCAATAATTAGAGTGGTTCTTATCCAATTTTCTAAAGTTTAATAATCTAATTTTTAAGTACTAAATCGGTTTCAACACTAGATTATTGTATCAAATATCAAAATACGCTTACATGAACTTTAAAGTATGATTATATATACTTACAATTTGACTGAAAATAACTAAAGAAAATTTAAGTACTAAAAAGAAAAAGAAACAACTTGAATTGACCAAAAAGCTATGAGTATATGTATAATATATACACACACATGCATCACCACTCAAAAAGTTATTTTGATTCTGGTAGTATAAAATCTGGAAGAAAGGAAAATTATACGTAAAATATATACAACATAATACGTACTTCATTTTTATTTCTCCTCTGGTAGTGGTGACCATGCAAAGCAACCTTGGAAAAAGCCTAAGCCATTCCTTTCTTGTTAATATGTTTCTACCTTTCTCCCGAGTTCACCATGTAAAGCAAGCCATTCTTTTCTTGTTTATGTTTCTACTTTTCCCCCAAGCTTAGCACCCTTCCAAATTCATACATATATACATATATTATATATAGAGATTTGGTGCTCATTTAATCATAAGTATCACTGATCATCAACATATTTAGGATTCAACAAATCAACATGAGCATTCATACATCTTCATCTGATTCTGATGATGAGAGGATGAGAGGTTTACCATGTAGATTGTTTGGTCGTCAAAGGCCTATCCGCTCTGTTCTTGGAGGAGGAAAAGGTATTTTCGTTTTGTATGAATACATGTCATTTGTTCTTGTCTTTGACTTAAATCAGGTAAACATAAAACATTTTCATTACTGTTTATGCTGTAATTCACATCACCCCAAATTGCATCCATCTAATTCTTAACTGGGTATTTATATATTGTGTTTTTAATACTCTTGATATGTCGACATCACATATATTTTATATTTTGAGTTTTATTGAGTTATTCTGTCATATGTAGTGTACGAAATTCATTACGTTAAAATAATATTATAAACTAATGTGAGTGAAAATTTATTTATTAGGAGAGTTTTTTTAAATAAATTCATACTTTATTGCATTATATACTAATAATAACACAATAAATATGATATCAAACTAAAAACATATACAGAATTACAAGTGAAATTTGAATTTATGATTTCTAACAAAAAAACAAGCATAGCAACTATTCAGTTAAATAATATTTTGTGAACAACTTATATTACATAGTTAATATAATATTACAAAGAAATGAAAACTAAAAGGCCCTTCTCCCTCTCTCTCTCTCTATATCTATATATATATATATGTATGTATAAATTTGGTTGGTGAATTAATACATATTGGTGGCTGTATTGACTAATAAAATTGAGAAGTGTTGAGTTTTTGCAGTTGCTGATTTATTGTTATGGAAGGACAAGAAGGTATCAGCTACATTATTAATAGGAGTGACAACCATATGGTTTCTTTTTGAGGTTGCTGAATACAATTTAGTCACCCTCCTCTGTCATCTTTCCATCACCTTAATGCTCATTGCCTTCATCTGGTGCAACGCTGCTGAATTCTTCCAATGGTATATATATATATTATTCCCATGCACGTATATGTAATCATTTAACTATTTCATGAACGGACGTATAACATTCTTGATTAAATCTGATCAGGAAGAAACCAAAGATACCAGAACTGTTACTTCACGAATCTACCTTCAGAGAAGCTGCTTCAACCTTCCATATCAGATTCAATATGGTCCTGTCAAAGTTCTTTGACATTGCAAATGGAAAAGATCCAGCACTCTTCTTTCTGGTAATTACTACGTTTAATTAAGAATTATTTTATAATTTTTGAATTTTAACTTTCTGAAATTTTCTTTTTCAGATGATTCTGTTTCTCTATATATTATCGGTGATTGGAACATATTTTAGCTTTGTAAATCTACTTGCCTTGAGTAAGAATCTAGCTACCATATTCTTCTATATATATATACTACATTTTCATGATAATGTTTTTAAATTGTGCTAATTAAGTTGGTTACCGGGGAAAAAATCAATTAGGTTTCGTCGGGATGCTATTAATTCCGTATCTATATGATCGATATGAGGATGAGGTTGATATTCTTGCTGCAAAAATGATGAGGAAACTGAAGAAATTTTACAGGAGGCTTGACTCAAATGTTCTTGACAAGATACCAAGAGGAACAGCAAAGGAAAAGAAACACGAGTAATTAATTTAATTACACAGGGGGGGGTAAATAATTTCTACAGTTAAATTAATTAAATCGCATCATCCCTGTTAATGAATTTAATTTTTAACATTGAATCGAATATTATTGACTCATAATATATCTATAAAGTAGTAAATTTTATATTTTTAATAAAATTTAAACTCATGGCTTCAATAAAATAAAATATTTTATTCGTTATTTCAACATGTGTCTATATAGGATTTAAATAATTCACGAAACATATCAATATTTTATCTTATTTAACAAATAAAAGTAGTTTTGCTTTACAACAAAAAATGAGGTAGTCAGATAAATTATGAAACTTGAAACCACTAAAAATGGAGATATATGACTTTACTAGAAATACCCAATTTAATTAAAATGAAGTAGTGGGGTACTAGTGTTCCAATTCAGAATTTCATTATTTAATATCTGCAGCTTCCTTTATGTTTATGCTTAATGGGAGCAAACAAAATGAGTCCACAATCACAAAACATGTGTACAATTATTATTCACACAGAAAGAAGAACACCCAATAAATATGTACGTATATATATATATATGTGTGTGTGTGTGTGTAAGTAAAATCCAAATCCTGTTTTGGAGTTTTTCAATGATATAAGCAAAAACAATCCCTAATTGGCCTCCACAAAGCATTAATAAATGGAACCCTTAAAAGGGCTTATATATAAAGCTGAGACTTTTCCATAGACTACTCTACTCCTCCACTAATTAACCAAATAATTGCATTAATTAATCCTTATAATCCCCTTTTCGGTAATTTACGAATGACTACGGACTAGTTTCTACATTCCCCAGTTTAACATGCTTGATAGTTAATTAATTAACTAATTAATTAAAGTAATTAAGTCTCGGAATAAATGAAAAAGTGGGTTGTAATTACTAACTTAAGTTTAAATGCGTTTTGTAAGTGCTTACCACTCACATTCATCACATGTGCGCACTGTGACCAAAATAGCTTATAATTGATTGTCATGTCGGTTCTTTTTTTTTTCTTTTTTTTTTTCCCCATTAATTATTGAAAAATTTGTCACTTTTCTATTAGTCTCCGAAATTAAATATCTCTTAATGAATCTAAATAAACCGATTTACAATTGAAAACTTGTTAATGAATGTATTGAATTTTTTTGAATCATTATTTAATTTTCCTCTGACAAGAAACAGTGGGAGTATATGTAAATACCAATTACTATTTCTAGTGTTAGCTATGGTGGATGAGTTGACCCACTATCCCCTCCGTGTCAAAGTTCTAATGTTTTTGCCTGCCAACTCTAGTGCAAATTTTTTAAACAAGAATATAGAAATATAATATCACCCCAATTTGACCTCTTGAGCAAATTTATATAAGAAGGCCTCTTATGGGTCTCATCTCTTCTCACCCAACACCTCCCAAGTAAGTACGAGGAGATTTTCTCAAGGCGGTGAGAAGCCAAAAGAGAGTAGATGGTGAGACAATGGGGAGGAATTCTAGCCGTTGATGGGTCTGAAAATATTGGTGTGATCGACGGTGGTGGTGGTCGTAGTTACTTAACGATCTTCTTGATCTGGTTAGGTTTGATGAGTCTATGCATGATGGCTAGTTCGATTTTGTCATGTGCGGATGGAGTTTCGAAAGAGAAAACTTGTTCGGCTGATGATTCGACAATCTATAGTGCTGGATGTGCTGCTGGTTGTGGTGCAGCCTGTGGTGCATGACTTTAATTCTTCTCCTTCTTGTTCAACAGCTTAATTTTCCTCATTATAACATATCACAAGAATACCCAGAAAAAAAAGAAGCTAATTAACTTCCATTAATGTAGTTTCGTTTCCCTTTAGACTACATATGTGTGTACGTACTGCTTGCTTACTTCTCTTAATGCTTTTAAGAGAGAGCATTTGTTTTGACATGTCTCTAGTACTACTTTATCTCTCTCTATATGTCTGTGTGTGTGTATCTCTTAAAACCCACTTTTATGATCTTACAAAACTTCCAAGTGTAAAGTCAGAAAAAATTATCATTAGAAAATAAAAGATAAATCTCAAAAGAAAAAGAGTAGCCAAGATGGGTAAGGTTGACTTCTTGGATGAATTTTTTTTTTTTTTTTTTCTAATAAATCTTTCAATTTTGTAGAATGGTCTTGACTTTAATGGAATGATATATTCAAACATGTATTATTTATTACAATAGATAATACGTATATAGTTTTTTTTTCTTATCTTAAACTTAATGATATACATGTGTGTGTATACATTCTTTTTTGTTCGGATGAAGTAAACTTTGCATTAAAGAAAAATTAAGCCACAAGAGCAGTACAAAATAGAGTCGGGTACTAGGCCAACAAATAGAAAGTGCATTAATGACTGATCTGATAACAGTGGCTCTTCCACCCAACATTTGCAGTAGGTATCTAAGCATTCCATGACCTCTCTACCTTTCTTCAAATAGGAGGTGAGAAATTGCAGAAGCATTAGCATTAACTTTTTCTCACAATTTTGAAACTGAGATATGGTAGAAAAATTATAAATTTTTTTGAAATCTTTACAAAAAAAATCGTACCAGTATCTTAATTAAAGTTAGAGTACAGATGAGTGAGTTCTTTTTGCATTTGAGAAATCCACCATAAAGTTGTTAGAGCTATTAGTTTAGAGAAAATTAATTTTTAATTAAACTTAGTAAGCTTATATCACAAGCAAAAATGGTATCTTCACTTGTAATGAACAACAAAAAAAAAGAATCCAACGGTAACCATGATAAACGATTGAAAATCCAAGGGTTATACAATCAATGTAGATAAATTATAATTCTGAAAATAAAAAATCTAATTTAGTTTAAACATATCTTAACCATAAATATATTTTATAAACACAACTTGTTGAATTTCTGCTCTTATAATATTTATGTATACCCGTGAGCTACCAGAGGACAATGAGAAAACTCAAAAACAGAACGTCAGGATCACCGACTTTTAAAAAACTGAAAACCCGACCGCCCTTTTACTTCTCCTTCTCCTCCAATCAGCAACAAAAAAATGAAGAAAGAAAAACAATGGAAGCTCTTCACATATCTCCCTCAAAATCCAATCAAAAATCACCAAAATCCCTAATTCCCCATATACCCAGATGGCCTGTCCCTCAATTGACTCTCTCCGTCCCTTTCTTGGGTCAGTCCCCAAACACCCAGGATCTTCATATTATTCAAAACCAACCTGGCAACCCATTTGCAGGATCTTTGCAACGAAGGCAGTGGCGGAAACGGAGGCGACCTTTGGCTTCAAGAATCTTATGGAAACTCTGACTGTAAATGTTCGGAGAGCACAGAGCAGGCCGCTGAATGTGCCGCTTATTGCTCCTTTTACTATTGCTTCTTCTAGGCTTGACCGAGTTGAGAATGTGGCAATTAGGATAGAGTTGGATAATGGGTGTGTTGGGTGGGGTGAGGCTCCGATTTTGCCTTTTGTAACTGCTGAGGATCAGCTGATAGCCATGGCTAAAGCCAGAGAGGTCTGTCAGTTGCTCAGAAGTAGTCCGCCGATGACCCTCGCTGCTGTTCTGGGGGAAGTTGGTGAAGTTCTTCATGGCCATGAGGTTGCTTCTGTGAGTAATCATACTGTCACTAGTGCTCTCTGTTTTTATGTGTAGCGTTCATGGTCATACTCACATATTACCGTGATCTTCATTGTTTTTAATTTTCTTGTAAGCTGTAACTAAAGGAAGGAATAGCAATCTTTTCATGGTTTTCTCAGAAATTGGATGTGTCTAAGTGATTCATGCTAGTTTCTTGTGTTCTTTCAAACAGAAAGATATTTGCTTTACTAATTCATAGGCAAAGATTCTGTGTTAAAATGAGTGGCTCCAATTAGGCTGAAGCTTTCAATAATTATGTCTTCGCACAATATAAGTAAGTGTAACGTATGAAATACTTTAAGGGATTCTCTGTATGCATTCCCTTTAGAAGTATTGGCAAAGTAAATTATAAATTGTTTCCACAAAGTAGCATCATAGGACTCGCTTTCATGGTTGTTAATACAGGCAAATGCTAAATAGGAATTGAATATGTAATTGTACTTCTCCCAGAATTGTATTTATTTTTATTTGGACAACTTTGGTAAACAAATGCAGCAATTCCATCATTCTGATGGATATGTGAATTTATTTGTTCCGTGCATAGTTAATATAAACTGAACCTAAACTTTCTTATGTATTTGCTTTGACATCTATAACCTTTGAAAGTGAGAGGTTCTGTAGTTCTCATTATACTGATTCTTTTGAAGGTTAGGGCAGGTGTCGAGATGGCATTGATTGATGCAGCTGCCAATAGTATTGGCATACCTCTGTGGAGACTATTTGGCGGAGTTTCAAATGCTATAACCACCGATATAACAGTTCAGTTCCTATCTTATTGATGATTGTCTCATTACCAAGAATATATACTTTTATGTTCAATACAACAAAACTATAGCATTCACTGACTTTTTAATATGCAGATTCCAATTGTTTCCCCTGCTGAAGCTGCCGAGTTGGCTTCAAAGTATCGCAAACAAGGATTCACAACTCTGAAGCTGAAGGTGGGAAAGAACTTGAAGGCAGACATGGAAGTTTTACAGGCTATACGTGAAGCTCATCCTAATTGTTCATTTGTTTTGGATGCTAATGAAGGCTACAAACCAAGGGAGGCTGTTGAAGTTCTTGAAAAGTTACATGGTAAATTATTCTACTCTGTGTAAATTCTCATTCTGCGTAGCATCTTCAAGGTAAACTGAGAGCAAAACATTGAACTTCTGGCTTGTGCATGAATGTCCCTCTATTGTCTATGCATGTTTATTAGTATCTAGCGTTCTTTATTCCTGAAGCTCAGGTTCTTTGTTTCATGCAGAAATGGGTGTTATTCCTGCTCTTTTTGAGCAACCTGTTCATAGAGACGATTGGGAAGGTCTTGGTTATGTTACTCATGTTGCAAAAAATAAATATGGCGTCTCCGTTGCTGCTGATGAAAGCTGTCGTAGTTTAGCTGACCTTAAGAAAATAGTAGAAGCAGATCTTGCAGATGTGGTTAACATTAAACTTGCTAAAGTTGGGGTCCTTGGGGCCCTTGAAATTATTGAAGTGGCTAGAGCATCAGAACTAAATCTGATGATTGGTGGTATGGTTGAAACTAGATTAGCTATGGGCTTTGCTGGTCATCTTGCTGCTGGCCTTGGGTGTTTCAAGTACGTATTTGTTCATTCTTGGGAACTAAAAAAAAAAAAGAAACAATAAACACTTGTTTCTGCTTTGAATATTTATTGTTCAAGTTTTGATTTGGGAGGATACTGTGCAGACACATTGACCTAGACACACCGCTACTTCTATCTGAAGATCCAGTTCTTGAGGGTTATGAAGGTACTTTCTGCCTACATATTTAACTTTAGAACGCATGGAATTTGATTTTTACTCAGAAAATAACCTGGCATGCCTATGTTTTAATTTTGCAACATTTTGGCTATTTGAAAATTCGTGGTTAATTTCTGGGCAGTGTTTGGTGCTGTTTACAAGTTTACAAATGCTAGAGGTCATGGTGGTTTTTTACACTGGGATAGTGCCGAATGGTAAATCTTTGACTCTCTGTCAATTTTGCTTTTCAGATATGTTTAATATTAGTTGTGCTTCTGCTTTACCATTGTTGTAATAGAGGCTGCTTCATTGCTACTTACTGGTCAGAAATAACACCAGGCATGTTTGGTAAACCGTTGAAAAAGAAGGTGAAGTGGCAAAATGAAAGGATCACTTACCACTAAGTTGCCTCTTTTACCCCGTTCAAGACGTTTTTTTTTTTTCTGCATGAATCTTACATTTGTGAAACTGGCTCCATATTCGCCCTTGGTTTCTGCGTTATAAATTAATCTATCTTCTTGACAAGTTTTTATCCAAAATTCAAAGGTAAGTTCTTCTTATGCTTCTTCTACATCCAAGCAATCTTATCTATCACCTGCAGAGCCAACCATAATAAATGCTTGTTACTCTTGTCCAACTGTGTGATCAAGGAGCTTACTGTAAACTTCAATAGAAGCAGAAGATTTTTTTTTTATTTTTAGGGGTCGCTGGCAAGTATATAAGCAGGGATAAAGAGTGTCGGCGTGCGGGTTAAAGAAATTCACAGAGAGTAGTGCAGTGTATGTTGCTTTAGGAAAATCTCTTTACTGAAAGTCGGTTTTGGCCATGAGTGTCAGAACTGTATAATTTTAGGTATCTGAACTTAGCTTCTAGAGATAGAATCATCACTTGTTCTATGTCCTTGTTGTGGTGAAATCTGATGTAATTGTTTTAATGATGTCTCTGCATATGCCACGCATTCTTCTAGCTTTACCCTCTCATCCTGAATCCTGCAGCGACTCTGGCAAGAACCCTTGATGACAATTGTTTTTGTCCTGTAATATCTTTTTGATGGCTGATATCATTTTGGCAATATGCATGTAGCATACGTACATATATGCACGTATTATTAGTATGTATATGTGTATCATTTTACTCCCATCACAGATTCACAATTCTGAACGGTGAAGTGCATTAGAATGATATTTGCAATAAACCAAGAATTCTTTTATATATATAAAAAAAAAAGTCAATTAAAAGAGAAAAACTGCAAAATTGTATTATAATGACAAGAACAATTACTCTGTGGAATTGAAATAATGCATTTTAAGTTCTAAATAAGATGATGGATTCAAAAAGCTGAGGGTTTTGAGTTGAAATAGTGGTTTGACATTAACTCTATTTGCCATTACAGACTTGTATAGAATCACAGTAAATACTAAATAGGAAAGTAGTAGATTTCCTAAATGATCAAAAGGGAGCTTCTGATCTTTATTCTCTCATCTCCTCCAACACTATGCAAAAGTAAATTGTTGCATTTGCATGCCTAATAATCCTCACCATCTTCCGTTTACAAATATGTAATTTTATATATTAATTTAATTTTACATCCAACATAGTTTTTATACTTAGTAAAATTGATTCATTTTTTTTTAATAAAAAATTTAGCTAAAATATCAAATGAAATGGAGATTTAGATGAAGATAGCCATCTAAATTTAAAGTAAATATTTTTAGTAATTTTACTTGTTAATCTTTGTGGTTATAGAATTGAATATATATATATATATATATTAATAATTGTAGTTTAAAAATAGAAGGGGAAAACTTTTTAAGTGGAATAAAGCAATGATTATAGCAGCACTATGGAATGGTTATAATTAATTAAAGAAGTAAATTTACAGAAGAGAAGTAAGCGTGAAGATGGAAAGTTGAGAGGGGAATGATTGATTTTAGGCCCCCACCACCATAATCATCCATTTCAACCACTCTAATTTCCACTTTAAATTCACCCTTTCATATCATCCTTCACCACCTATGTGTATAATCTGTCTATATCAACAAAAATTTTGTATATGCATAATGGGTATAATATATATATATATATATGTGTGTGTGTGTACATGTATGTGATGAAAGTCAACTCGTGCTCTCTTTAAACCCCTTCGATCCCATTGAGGGTTCTTTGTCAAGTTTATAAATGAAATAAAATTGAAATGTCTAAAACTCATTAAATTAATGTAACTACATACAAGTAATTATGTATATATTTCACTTGGTGAAAAGGTGAGTGAATATAATTGTAGTTACATCAGACATTAGTAGTAACAATAATTAAGATGGAAACAGCGATTAGCCATTGAAATCCAATCATTATATTCCTCTTTTATGTACAAGCATGCTCCTGAATGATCTCACATTCCAATTATAATAAGGTTTATCCATATATATATATATATACAATCTACATAAAGTTTTTAAGTATATAAATATTGTAATTGGGTCTTATAATTTTAAAAAATTCTTTCATAATTTTACCATTATTAACTAACTAAATCTTGCTTGTGTTATATATGTTGTTCATATTTAGAAAAACTCATGTGGGTTTCGAGTTTTATTTTCTCTTCTTAAAAAAAATAGAGAAAATAAAAACTGAAAAGAGCACCGAAAGGCAGTCGATGATTTGATTGGTAGCCAAGTTTGAAAACCAAAAACAAAAAAAGCTAATCGATGTGGGAGTACATCTGATGTGATCTCTCTTGTACAATTTAATTCGGTGGATGCACGCAGCCGTATCATGCTAATCATTGCCAATACAACCCTTATACTTTCCTCCAATTATATATACACACACACACACACACAATATAATGAGTAGATTCCGACGTGATCTAATGGCTATTACAAGCTAGAATATATATATATATATATGTACACAAAGATACATATAATATGGTACAAGTACTATTTTCGATTAATATTATATGAAATTAAGAATGATTGAGCCAATTAGTGTATAGTATGATGACAAGTGTGTGAGTGTGCATCAAAGGTAGCTTCCTATATGGGTAGTATATGTACTATGTAGGGTCAATCACACTTGACCTCCATACTCTATAAATATATAAATATAATATTACTACTATATATATTATCGTGACTAAATTCTCAGTACATGATATAATTATAGAATAATTTTTTATCATTATATAAAAAATAACACCAAATTTTACTTTATGTAATAAAGTGCACTAATTATATTTTTGTAAGACTTTGTAAAAAAATTATATAAAAACAAAATTTAAAGAGTATTAATTATATTTTTAGTTGATAAAATTTATCTAATAAAATTTTATAATCTATTATCTTATATATTAAATTTTATAATGTGTAACGTATGTATATATTCTTTTTATTTAATTTTTAAAGCAATTTCTTAACTTATGTTTAGATATAAAGTTAATGGATTTAGAGGAGTGTGGGACCAAAAGAAGAAGTTAATTTTCACAGTTGCTTTGGTAAATTAGTCAATAAACAATCAGTAATTAACCCACACTAGAGGTTAATGACATGAAGCTGCCTTTCACTCTTGCTTTAATTTGCTTTGGATCTCTCCTTGATGTGATTTTTGTATTTTAATTAAAAACATAATCAAATTTAACAAACATCAGTTTGATCTTAATACTAATATCAATATTTGACTGATCTCTGGCTTTCCAACTCTATAAATTGAAATGTGAGGCATCCCACCAGAAACTCACCACTACCTCTCTTTCTCACACCCAAGAAAGCAAAAATCTTCTTAAAGTAAATACCAAATGAAGGCAAAACACATTTCAGTCTTCACCCTTCTGGTACTTCTTCTGGCGGAAGCAGAGGTTTCAATGGCGGTCACCTGCACACCCACCCAGCTAAGCTCTTGTGTCAGTGCAATCACATCTTCTTCTCCACCAACCAAGCTCTGCTGCACCAAGATCAGAGAACAGAGGCCTTGTCTTTGCCAGTACATGAAGAATCAAACTCTCAGGAAATTCATTAACACACCAAATGCCAAACGAGTTGCCAAAACTTGTGGCACACCCTTCCCCACCTGCTAAGACTTAAATCACTTATATATTTATATATGTAAGCTATTTTCACGTCTGTTTCTCTACATTTACATGTGTTTCTTACATATACTCTGTTGGGTGGGAGATTACATAGTTGTTAATTTATATTATACATATATATAGAGCTCTGTCTGGTGTGAGATTGATGCCATGTTATGGTAGTTTCTGTAATGGGTCTGAAGTGTCTTTCCTGTTCCGGTCTTCTCTGGTGTGATTTTCATCATGTTCTAATTGTTGCAAGCTCAGTACTGTAATGGAAATCAATGTTGGATATTAGCATAATGCCTTCTCCACTTGCTATTTCATTAAATCTTTTTAACAGTTAATCAGCAAGTGAAGTGCATATCCGTTTTCTCTGTAAAGCTTCTCGGAGTATTGAGTTCTGGGTAGCTGCTAGTTTCTTTAAGAAGCTTAAGAGTAAGAATGGACAAAAGGAACAGATGGCTGCAAATGACGACATGATTTTTTCTTCCGGTTAATAACAAAATCAGTTTCACTGGACAATAGACCACTGGTAAAAAAATCAAGATGGTACCTGGAAGAATTCAATCAATCATGTATTTGGATAGACTAGTATTGAAAAGTTCAATCAGATGCATTCCAGAGCTTTCAGGTGCCCCTCAGTTTGAACTGAATGTAAAGGAATAACTATAAATCCCAAGAACCTGAAGTTTTAGTCAGTCATAGAATAAGAAAAAGAAACATAGAGAGCTAAACTCATTATGATGATAGAACCATGAATCACCAATCATTTTCTTGCAGAAATGAGTAAGGAACAAAGATATATATGCCTTGGGTTTCAGACTCGGATCACGCAGTGTGATAAATTAACGAGCAAACAAAGAATTATCTGTTTAGGTGAAAGTGATCAACCCGACTGATTTAACTGTGAAAGACTATGGAAATTACTGTGTATTTCTTCCTTTCTTTTCCAAAACCAAGTCTCTGTCCGCTAAAATTTAAGTCATTCAGTCATGCTATAGGACTACCCAACAATTTCTCCCAGTAAATTGGTTTCTTTCAGATTCAAATACTGTTCCTCTTTGTAAAGAGGTTTCAGGAACTTTCTGTAGTTCAAAGATATTGCGTACACACCGGCCAGAACTTCTGCTCGAAAAGATTAAATCAAATGAAAAATGAATGAATCAATAATGCTTTATTTGAACATGAAGATTACAAAAATTGGACAAAGAAGAACGATAACAAACAACCCAAACCATCCTCCCAAGTGTGCTCAAACAGTCACACCCTAACCAATACTTCAGAAGATTGGAGAAAGAACTCCAAAATTCATTTACATGTACAGAATGGGAAGTACTTACAATCAAATTGTATGTTCTCACAAATGAAGAAGGTTGGAAATTGGATTCCAGCCCATAATCCAGGGCCTCTTGTCCGATGGTAGCACAAAATTGAGCTCAAACATCTCCTTCGAGATATTTCCGCCTTCGCAGAAACCAACTAGCTTTGCCACTATTGCAGCACTCTCATCTATGTGTCTAGGATCATGAGGATCAATCCAAAGCTTGTTTACAAACTGTTGTTTCCTCTGCTTTCCATCAAGTGGTACATCCCATTTAATGTACAATGCATCTCTCTCCTCTGGAGTCAAACGTGAGGTAACCCGTTTTGCAAGGAACTCCCTTTCACGCCTCAATGCTCTGATGCTGCACATAGAGACAAGCATAAATTTATGTTTTTAATTGTATAAATCCTTCTCAAGGGAATCTTTCGGTGCCAAATCAACCATGAGAAAGAGAGAAGAGAACCTTGAGGCTAGAGAGATAGCAGGCTCGTCCCCTACTCGAGCAGGGCTTGCATTACCAAGTTCAGCCAAATGCTGTTCTAACCAAGTCAAACGCCTGAGCTCCACTTCCATGTAGATTTGATCAGCTCGATCCCCCTTGAATAACAAATAGAATTGCGTCCTATGAATGATGGAGACATGGCATACATGCCATAACTCAATTATTTGCTGCCTTTGCTCTTTAAAAGTTATATGCCATGCCACCTGAGGTTCCTGTGACTCAATTGTGTTCTCATCATCCTCTAAATTGTATCCAGCTGCTTCATTTGCTTCCAGCTCAAGCACCTGGAGGCATACGATAAGTAACAAAGTCAAGATATAAACTTTCAAAGGAAACGGGATACCAAATTGAAAGGCAATGACATAGGAGGCATAAAATCATTCCTGTATACCTGGCAAACAAGCAGCTGCTTCTGGTATTGTAGTTTGGCAACACGTTCTTTCAGTTCTGTTACATATGCTCTTATGCTCCTCACATTCTCTTCAGCTGCATTCTGGAACATTTTCTGCATTTTCTTCATGTTAACTGAACTTTGGCGCCGGTAAACTGGAGTATCTTCCTTTGATGAGATATCGCCACCTTCTTCACTCATTGTGGGAGTCTCTTTGTCAGATTCGGGTATCTCTCTGGAGATAGTATCATCGACTTCTGGAGCTCTATTTTCAATATCTGAATCCAAAACTTGTCGGGAAGTTGAAAGAGGTGAACAAGGAGATTTTATAAAATTTTGTCGGTTTACAACATTACTTGAGGCTAAAGGAAGTAACTTTTTCCTCTTAGATTGATTCTTAGACCCGGGGGTTGCTTCACCGTTGGATTGTGTATTGCAGCTAGGAAGAGACATTACTAGCATGTCTATAGACTTTTGAACATTTTCCAGTTGCTCCTCTAGGTCTGCAATAGTGCTGCCCTGTGAATGAAGTCTTGTTATCTCATCCTTGAGGTTAGAACTCACACTCTTGTTTGGAGCTATCATACTTCCAACCTCGACTTCTTTCTTCACTGGTCTTACAGTACGCATTTCCCCTATTTCTGCCTGCAACTTTGCTATTGTCTCAGCTGCATCTTGGTTACCTAGTCTATGGCAGGCCACCTCTTTCTGCAGCACTTCTAGAGCTCTATTTGCTTCTTCTCCAAGCTGCTCCTGAAGGTGTTCAAGTTTGCGGATTTCATGCATAAGCATGAAAGGAGCAGTTGATGACTGCCTCATTGACTGCCTTGACATTGTTTTTCTTGTTCTATCACTGTGAACTACCTCCTTTCCATCGATTTTTGGTGACAAGACTCCAGAATAAGAGAGACACTTCTTAACTGACTGGAGGGGAGACTCAAATGGGTTTGAGCTCTGAATCATATATAACTTAAGAGAATAAGTTGAAAATCAAAATGGCGAGAAAGGGACAAGCAGTGGACAAGAGAGAGAGAGAGAGAGAGATGAAAACCTGCTGGTCCTCCTCAAGTTTTCTGCGCAACTCGTCTACCTGAGATTGTGCAAGATCTCTTTGGCGTCTCAGTTCTTCAATTTCCATCTCCATCTAGAATAAGATAATGAAAAACATATGCATTAATTCATTCAATTTTCATATTAGCTTACAACCAATTCAAAATTCTAATGCTAATAGGAACCTCTTGAATTTTCAAATCTTTTTCCCTGGATGGATCAGGAGTGCGCAGCTCTGCTTCTAGCCTGGCTACTTCTTTCTGCAGGTGCTTTACTAGCTGCTTATCTGAAACGACCTAATAGAATTTTTGGTGTAAAGATCTCAGGAATCAAATTCATGTTCAGATAGCAGTAAAATGTACCAACAAAAAAAGAAAGGAGAAAAGAATTAATCAGTACCATGTTGACTTGAGCATTATTTGTGACTTCCTTTGCCCGAGTTGCAAAGTGGAGAGTATTCCGTGATTGTTCAACATGGCTCGTTGCTGGACTTAAGGTACATATTATGGCAGTACGTGCATTCCCACCAAGTGAGTGTTGTAATATGCGAGTAAGCTTTGAATCTCGATAAGGTATATGACCGCTCCTTTTTCCAACACTACAAAGAGTTCGACAAGACAAAATAGCCAAGTGAATTGTTTTTCTAAATAACACCGTTCTGTCAGGTTGAATGGTCAAACGGTTGCAAAGAGAAATAAGAGAAATTTTAGGCTTCTCTGACAAATTCTCACCTGAGTTTTCTGATTACGGTAGTCAGAGTCATTAGACTAAGGTTTATATGGCATCCTTCCCTTAGCCTAGCACCGTCTGCATTAGTCTGTGAGGCTCTTTCACTTCCAGCTAAATCTACAAAGTTCTGCAATTCATTTTCCAACATACGTCAAAGTTATGATTCATACAAGTAGGTTGAAAGGAAAAATAAAAAGGCAAGACTTCACGGTTTGTTACCAGGCTTGCAACAAAAGATCTCACGCAATCTGAAGTTTCTCTGAGAGTACTTTCTATAGTCTACAAGTCATCCAGAGATTAGTTGAGTGTTGGATGTTTCAATAAATAAATCTACTTGAGGCATTAAGATCTTTGACACTCACCAGTCTTATTATTTGGTGTGAGCGCGAGCTGGTATCATTTAGGGCAGTTTCCCCAACTTGCCTTTGGGCTACAATAGAACAAAGGATCAGTTTTCTATCACCTAACTTGAAGGAAAAGAAGCAAATTCATAATTCAATCCAATGAGCGCTTCAAATTACCTTCACAAATACTAATCAGATGTCTTAAGTGCTGATCATTGTTTGCTTTTTCCTCCACCAACTTCTCAACTACAGTACCTTTCTGGAAGCATCAGTTGAGAGAAATCCATTAAATGAAGTTAGTTGAGCCACGTATAATCAGATATCTTAAAATTTGAAAATACTAGGAAACAGTGAAAATACCTCTGGATCGTCAAGAAGCTTGAGGCTACGACCAGATTCTGAATTTAACAGGTCCCTGACATTCTCGTTATAAATTTCTAGTCCAGATATCTTGATTGTGAAATCTCTCTCTGGAGTCTGGTAATTATCAAGGAAACAAAAGATTATCTTAGCAAATTACGAGATTCCATTTCTGTTCCAAGTTTGTAAGCAAATAACGAGCCACACCAGAAATAAATCTATCAAGCTTACATTTATTATATGCTCGTAAATGTCATTAACAGCTTTCTCAGTTATTCCTCTCATCGTGTACGTCTTCCCACTACTAGTTTGTCCATAAGCAAATATCGTGGCTGCAGTCCGAGATATATGAAAATTCAGCTCATTGAGATACAAAATCTTTCTAAATGAGAAAGATATAAATCATATTGAAGTACCATTTATGCCCATCAAGGCAGACAAAGCAACTTTCTTTACTCCTTCCTCATATACAGCTTCAGTTAAACTTCCAGGACCAAAGACTTTATCTGAAAGCAGACAAAATCCCAACATTTTAATGGTGCTTCTGAAATGTGCAACAAAGCCTTAAAATTCAACATGTCAAACTGTAATAAAAGGAAAGAAAAAAAAAAAAAAAAAAGCGAAAAGGAAAATTCACTGAAGTTACCAAATGTAAAAGCGGCTGACTGAGTTAAACGTTCTTGAGGTTGTGGTTTATACACAATTGTATGATCATCAACGCATTCCCATGCTACTTGATCTTTAGCAGACTGCTCCTTCTTGTTTAGAGGCCTTAACCGTACAGTAACCACGATCTTCTCCTCCTTCGCTTTTGGCCCTCCAGGAGTGGATACTGGCATCCGATCAGTCTTGGATGGTGTTGTTCCAGGAGTTCTGACTGTCATCTTTTCCAGCAAGATCTACTTTCTCACTCTGTAATTGAACTCAGAAGATCAAGTAGTAGGGCCGAGGCCTCTTCAAAAAGAGGCTAAGAAGTTGCTATTTCTGAAGTGCAACAGTGGCTTGAATATATATCTATGGCAGCTCTGGATATCCAATAAGGCACCTGTCAGAACTAATAAGGGGTCAGTTATGGAGGACAAAGACCTGAAAGAGAAAATGGATAAGTACGTGAGATCGATAAGTGAATGCTGCATTTGAGAAGAACTCACTGGAGATCGTAAACTGAATCTAAAAGGGGAAACCTAAAAAAGTTTCCATCCATGACAATGAGGAAATCAAACTAATCCGAAATGATCTCATTGATTCACAGAAGGAAATAAAATCGTACTGAGTTTAATTTCTTCCAATTTTTAAGGGGAAATTTCTCCGTCTTTAGTTACCAAAAACAGAGAAAGCACAGAGGATAATATCATCAAGTTTTGGACTTGATTAGACCAAAAAGCCGACATAATTCGAAGATTTATGATCATTAGGCATAACTATTGCCAGTAGACTGCAAATGATCAGAAAATCACTTAAAGGCTTCCATTTCTTTTTTTTTACACGGAGTTCTACGTAACCAAATCAAGCGTCGAAGAAGGCAAGTTCCACTTCTTTCATTAACTAATCATTTTAAGCATCAACATCTCACCTGAGACTAACAAGAGAAACATAAAACAGAAATTTAAGGAAGTGAAATCACATACGCACAGAAATCTGGAGGCCGAAGCGAAAGAAATTCCTCAGATACAACCAGCCAGCTCTCGTTGACAGCCAAGCAGAAGAAATGGAAAGCAAGAGAGATTTCTACAGAGAGAGAGAGAGAGAGAGAGAGAGAGAAGAAAGAGGGGAGCGTGGTGGAAGGTGAAGTATACAGAGAAGAGAGAGAGAGAGAGAGAGAGAGAGAGAGAGAGGTTTGATGAAAATGAAAAGCTGTGGCCTATACGTGAAGAGAGAGATTTTGAATTTGAGAAGCACAACGGCTAGTTTCTCTTTTCCTCGAGGGGTCTGTTTTTTTTAATTGATTTATCGCCGATTGTTTCGACGCCAGTGTTTTAATCGCCGAGGAAAAGGGGGACCGAGTATCAAGTCTTTTAACGGTTTTAATTTAATTAATCACAATTAATAATTATTTCCGACAAGACAAAAAGGAAAAGAGCGAATTTGCCGAAGGGTCCCTTCCTCCTTCAAAATTTTGGCTTATCCCATTAGTTTCCCATTAAATTTTTGAATTTTAAAAGGTACCCTTGGAGTTTGGGTTATTTATAAACACCACATCAAGATCCCAACTCAGCTCGGAGCTTTGGAATGTCCTCTTTCATTATTTACTTTTGAAACCAAATGTAAGACTACATTTTTGTTGTATTTATGTGTTCTCCTTATGGTTGGGAGAATATTATTTCACATCATTGTTTTGCTTCGAATCTAAATTCACTTTATTCATTTGACCCATGTAAAATACAACCAGCAGCTGATCTATGTGATGGCATTCCCATTATGGTAGAACTTGGTCAAGTAGAAAGCAGACAAGTTTTCCACCAAGCATCAATCAATTCCCAGTCCGAACGAAATCAAGCTAATGAGGCTCCAAAACTCGTTAACACGAAAACATTTAGGCTGTGGTAGAAAGCCGCCAGATATATTGCAGCTTACAGTAATGTCACATTCATCTTTCACTGCACTGCAGCCTTACACTCCCCAAGCAATGATAATACCGGATTCAGTAGGCATCAATTTTCCCACTGATGATATTGCATCAAATACACATTTAATAATATGCATGCAACACAAGAACATATTTTCTTCCAAAAAAAAAAAAAGACAAACATATATATATATAGATAATTTAATTTAGAAACACCAAATAAGTAAAATCAATGCATTTTTTATAGTCTCCCTATCAGAGGGAAGTTCCTCGCCAAGCCTTGTTGCACTTACAGATCAACAAGTTCCAACATCCAAGTCTTGACAAAACTATGGATATACCTATTATCTTCCAGCAAAGGAAGTTAGAGAGGTAACTGGATATACTCCTATTATGTTCTCTATATGGCATCACGAAAATATATCCCTAGTATCTTCTCTATCTTAACAGGCAAAATATGGTTATTCTTACCAGCAGCTTTGTTTCGTCTTCCTATTTGTTAGCTGCCTTCTCACACTTCATTTAGAATATATCTTTGCATCTGTTGCTTCCTCTGTGTTGTAAACTTCGCTCTCTACCATCTTCTTCGTCATTTGAAACCCGAAATGTCCCCCCACCCCCACCCCCAGCGGTTATTTTCATCAGTTGCAGAAATACAAATAATATCTTCTCAGTAGCATGCTGTCATAGAACTTAATGAAGATATTTAACTTTTGTTCGACCATGGATTTTGCCAGGATGTTTTGCTTATGAGCATTACTTTTTTGGCCAGGACGTTTTGCTTATCGGCATTATTTTTTGGTGTGAAGAAATGACACATTCTTGGCAGTAGTACATCTCTGAATTTCACCTGGGATACGTCCCATGTGATGCAAAGAACTGGAAATCTGGGTGATCGACTCTAAGCAGTCTTAGCCACCTGTCTGCAGCCTGCATGAGGGAATTGGCCTGTTCATACTCACTTGCCTTATTATCTGTCCACAGCAATCCTTTGAATTTATAAGAAGCCATTCCAAAAGTAGGTAAGGAAAATCTTGGGACGCCATCCATCTCGCTGGGATAGACTACTATTGGAGCTTGGCTACCTCCAGTACCTGCACCAATTCACTATATCTCAGCATATAAACCATATAACCTGATACATAAAAAAACGAAGACAAATCATTCTAAAATATCAAGAATTTTCGTGTAGGAGAATGATTGCCTATAAACCTTGAATTCTATAGGAACCCAAAAATATATTACTCTAGACGAGTATAAAAGTCCATGATCATGCATATTGTTCTGTTTACCACTTTAACTAAAAATTTATTTTCTTTGAAAAAAAAAATCATAGAGAAAAAAGAGGAGAGGGAATCCTATCCTTCCATGAAAAGGAAAGAAATCAATGACAAACATTTTAGACAGATAAAAATGCCCGTAAAGAATCAGCACAAACTAGCTAAACAGTAGGCAGAAGTTTCTACCAGGAAAGAACCTTCCTCTTTACATGATATTGCAAACCAAGTGCCACTTGACCTTTTCTTTATATTTTGTCTTAGGAAAATTCATTGCTTATTTGACGTTTCAAATGTGTTTCATCAGTATTTCACTAATAAAATTTTGGCAACTGTTTCCAGAACAAGCTCCTCTTTTCCTCCTTAAAGCATCCTTCTAGTACTTGTTTTATTCTTTTAGAGTTGTTCTTAGAAATGTTTCAAAAAGAAACTGTACACCATACATAATCACAAAGCACACTCCTTCAAGTATACATGGCATGTCAGCATTTATAATAGAGGTTTCAAATCTAAATAAGTCATGCAAATTTATTTCAGCGTATATGTATATGTGCGTGTGTAAAAGACACTGTGAGGAAATGAAACAGAAATAGAAATATGCCCTAAATTAAGTGCTGGCTCCCTAATTAAGGCAAACACCATGCATATAAATCTTTTTGACAACTAAACCTTAAGTGCATAAAAGCCTCTGGATTTTTTTTTTTTTTTGTGAGAACTAAATACCAACCCAATAAGTAATTCATGACTCTAGAATCTAGATGCTAAGGAAACCATGATAACAACCAAGATTTTGTTCGAGAACAGGCTAGAAAGGATAAGTGCCCTCAAAATAGGTAAAACCAAGGAGACTGTCAATAAGCAGCATGCAAAAACCCAGTATTGATTATCCATCTTACATGCCAAGGTTGAGTATATGATTTTGAAAGTAAAATAAAAAGGGCCACATTGACAAAATTGCATTTGAATATGCATTTGAGTGTTGTGGATGTATTTATGCATAGCCAGTGTCCTAATGTACTGAAATAATCATAAGTCATGATTACCTTTCATGGGGTTGGAAAGGCAATGATAAGTTAGAAAGCAAGCATCCAAATCTTTTAATGTTCGACCAGTTGGTATTCTGTATATAGGATACCTGCAAAATTTTCATGAAATAAAAAATATGTTTGTATGATATAAACAGTTGGACCATAAAGATTGCAATATCCTTACCATGCAACAGATACCCAGCTGACAGGCAGTAGATCACAACTTCTTAATGTCTTTAATCCAGGATACCGACAAGCAAGATCAGATATCTGTCATGAAAATGCAGCAGATAAATAAGGCAGGTAATGCAGCAGTCAAATAAAAAACTTCACAGAGTGGAATATGTGACAGTAACTAGCCTTGTCAGCTAAAGGCTCGCGGCTATAAGGGGTATTACGCTCAAGAAACTCAAACAACAATTGACCTCGGGAACCTCCAGCATCACTATCATCACTAGAAATGCTTTCTTCTACTGTACTATTTTCATCACTTACAGACAAGCAGCTCATTGCACAAGAAACCTCATTTCCTTTATGATGGCGGCTACGATACTTCTTAGAAAATTTTAAACATTTTTCAGTTTCACAATCGCTGTTTCCATCACTACTTGAGTCTCTGTAATAGTCAACATCACTGTCCTCCCCAGCTTGCCTAGCAACATGAGATTGTCAAACTTTTTTTGTGTGCTAATAGATCATATCATACACGATATAACAAAGTTACTATATGAAGAATAAACAGCAAAAAGAAACCAGATGTAAATTGCAGAATCAGAGCTGGAACTTGTCTGACAGGTGAGAAGAAATGTTAGCAAAAGAAAGAGATATGTGATAGTGCAAGAAAAAAGAGCAGAAACTAGAGTGAGAGTAGAAAGGTGCAAGAAAACCGATCTATAAGAGTCCACAATATATCATAGTGTGGCGCTGAAAATTCAAAACAGAATCATTTTAACAATCTTTTGATTAACAAGTCACAAAAAAGATACTTGGCTGTCTAGTTATGCATATCAAAGACATCCAACATTTGCCTTGGACAGTCATAACAAAGCACATAATTCCTTGGTGGTAAATCTACTCAATGTTTCATGTTACAAATAAACAACTTTTTCGTGGACAAGAATAATTCGATGTACAAAGTTTACTAGAAGGCTGCAGCAAAACTAACACAAACAAATATTTATGTCAGCACGTGAAGCAGATTACCATGTTCAAAAGAAACTGTGTGTTATCTGCAACATCAAAAGATTCATCAATGTAGCGCTTTCAGTCATTTGCACCAGAATTATGAGTATAAATCAACAAATATGCAACACAAAAAAAAAAATTATTTCAAAGTCATTCTACCTCCACCTAACACATAAACTAGTCTAGAAATCATTTAGAGAATAAATCAAATACCGCATACAGGAAACGAGGTAAACTTTATTCTTCTTTTAAAAAGACCAAAGGCTTAGGCAACAACCAATACCTTGACTTCACAGTTGCTTGTGTAGATTCACCATATAACTGGATGCCTGACAAGTATGGAACATAATACTGAACAACACAATCGCCCCCTTCAAGTATCAAAGGAACTCCTGC